ATTTCGATAAGTAAGAACACCAAAAATCGTTAAAACAATAATAGGTACCAATACGGTAACAGTTAAAAAAAGGAAGTACGTAAGATAAGAATAATAAATTACAGAGACATTAATACACATTGGTTCACCAAAACTATTATCGATATACCAATAAATCAAGTCGGGTATGAACATTAGAAGAGACACAAGGATTGCAATTAAAACGGAAATTGTTGCTATTTTCATCGAGCTTCTTTGTCGTCGTGAGGCGTTGTGACTAGTAGAATGGTATCGATCGATTGATGCTAGACATAAGGTTATAATCGTGTAGATATAACAAACATCTGCCAGATAATTCATTAGTTTACACCACCATAGATAAGTCTCTGTACCATTTTTGCCATTGATTAAACTGACAACATTTGGTAAAAGATATATTAGAATTGTCAAACAGTTATTCGTTTCTGTTGTCAAGAAGTAAATAGAACATGGATTAGTTCTATAGTGTTTTGATGAAAATATAATAATGTTGATTGAGTTACCAAAGAGACCAGTAATAATGACAAAAAGATAACCATATAGATATATTTGGGTAGAAGCAAAATTGATTGTATCCACAGTAACAGATGACATATTTTCAAAACAGACAGTGAAATAATATGACTAACTTGTGTTAATATGAGAGTTTATATGAGTGAGAAATGCTTTTCTATTTCCACCACATATAATTTAGCTGAGATAACAATTTGCCTCTGATTGATGTGCTAAAAAAGGTGTTTTTAATCTTTGGTCTTAATTAAGAGAACTCGGAGGTAGACATAATTATCCTTTTTTTCTTTTTGTCTTCTATCTGATTAAGAGAAGAAAACAAAGTTTTAACAAATGAAAAACGAGAAAATTGTATTAATGACACACTTTTCTCCTTATAATATTTGCTTTTAAAAATATCTAATTTAGAATGAAGCCTGGGTCATTATAGAAAACGTTATTCATAGACAATAAAAAAAATAGTTGGAAGGGTTGTCGATCCCTTTGAAGAAAAACATGCAGTCTCTGCCTTTTTATTTCATATCTCATTCTTTTTTTAGAAGCAATTCATCACTGGATCGAGCATTTTTCATTAGATTGTCATGCACAGAATTTTAACAGATCTTTTTGAATATATCAAAGAAATAATTTCAACATGTCTCAATAAACTCATAGAAAATATTTCTTTCTTTGTCATGACGCAACGATTTTTTTTATGTTGAGTAGAGATCCATAAAATAATTAATGAACATCACATATGTCAAAATCGAAACTTTGGAATAAATGACTCTAGTAGCAAATTCTACGAAAAGCTATGCTTGAATTGTTTTTTTAAGATTTTCTGGAAGTTCTAGCAAAAGATCTTAAATAGTCTTTGAACTTACTCGATTTACTATCCACATACACCCACACGCATCCTTATCTATGAAAAACAATTAAAAAAGTTTGAATTGTGAGGAAAAAATTAGTATAAGCCATAATACGTTCCAATTTATTCATTTCTATCTTTCAATCGACTTTTGGATATTATAGATTACTCAATCGTTTATGTGTGTTTTAAGGATAATCAGAATAAATATAAGGAATTCATGAATGATATTTTTTAAAATATCGAGAATCAATTGAGTCGCACCGATGAACACTAGTTGTTGTTACTTATGAATCGCCTAAATAATAATTTCATTTTATACATACCTATTAATAATGTCAATGGTATGTCTTCTCCATGAGAATACTTAATTCGATGTCCTACTTTATTTTTCATCCGATAATCTTGTTGATAAATACATGCAACTCGATACTTGGGTAAGTTAGAATGAAGAAATTCTGCACGATGAAGATATTCTCCAAGTTGTGGACATTTAGGCACTTTATGTGGAAAATGAATAAGATGTGGTTCAATTTTTTCATTACGACATAGTTTCGAGAAACGACATAGATGAGTATATTGTGCAATGTCTTCTTTTCCTTTGTTTGTATCCGAATATTGAAGAAGACAATGAATTAATTTAGGGCATAAATTAGATAATTGGTTTAGCAGATGGCTTGGGTTTAATAAATTCGAAATCAATCGATGAATGAAACTGTTCGATAGGTTCATGTCGAATAACCAGATTTTGTGGGTGTGGGTGGATGAGACATTATTTTAGCGATCACTCATTCACCCTCAAGATCAAGATGTTGGTATGGATGAGTGATAGCAAAGTATGTTATATATTCAATTCCTATATCCTTTCTCATTGATCATCGTATTATTTATTTAAACGACTGGCTTATGACAGAATAGAAAGAATAGTTAATTTATCCTAAAAATACATGTTACCTTTCTATTTATTCATATAGGAAAAGCACAAGTAAAATATTCTTCAAAAAACAAAATACATTACGGTTGAACACTGAGACTATTATCTGTGATGTAGAATAATATTAATATTTCTTAATTTGTATTCTATGTAGTGTGAGGTGCGGATAGTAATGCTGTAGGGGATAAATTTGAATTTAAAGGTTTTAATTCTTGATATTCATTTAGCGAATCATGTCTGTAAAACAAATTCAAAGATGTATCTATTTCTGTTGACGGGAAATTATGAAAATTATCCAATTGTAAAAGTCTATTTCCTCGTTCAATTCTTATATTCATCATTGAAGATGTGAATTCATTTTGTGAATGATTTCTACGTGTTAGTAATGTATATATTATAGTAAAAAGTTCACGACGAAAGGTTTTTGATGTTAATGTATAAATATAAAATGATAATGTTGGATATAAATAAACATTTAATTCAGTCAAATATCCAATAAATATTTCAATCATTAATCGATCTATTGATTTATTTTTTATATTGTAAGCATATGGCGCATATAATAATACAATCATCCAAGGTATTGTGGAAATAATATAAAAGATAACTTGAATGAATAACATCAATAACACTTGATTATCACGAGTACTAAGTAATCGACTTGTTAAATGATCATCTTGATAATGATAATAATCTCGACGACGTATTCGTTTCAATCTTAAATTATCATGGATAAGAAAAGTACATATAACCATAATCATAATAGGAAGAAAACCAATAAGAATAAAAGTAAATAAACTGTGATAGAATGCATAAACAGCTTTAGAATATAAACACCAACCTATTCCAACATTTAAGAATATTAAATTATATAAAGGTAATATAATAGAAAGAATCATTATTTTAATTACAATAGAATACGCTATACGTGGATTTGAAAACTTTCGTAGATAAAGATTCGTTGATGAAACCATATATCGATCAATACAAGCTATAGTCATTATCCATCGATACATCAATTGAAATGATTGACCCATATAACCTCGTAATTTACAAAATAGATGATTTTTATTCTGTGGATTAGGATGATATGCTGCATAACTATACGGTACATATCCGATAAATACTAAGATCATCATTGGTACTGATGCACTAAGAAAATCTTTAGAAAAATAAATATTCTATAAATAAATCATAGAGAGATGACTTACATGTACAACAAGAAATTGTTCGAAATCGTTTTCGTGAAAAAAGTAAAATATTGAGTAGACAACCAATGATACCAAATATTAATAGAATTGGACAAATATAACGATTAATATTATATTGAATTATTGATATTGTATTATTTACAGACATTCAAAAATCAAAATAAATACAATCAGATATGAGTAGAGGTTAGTTTTGATGGAAAAATATAAAGAATGAAAAATTACTATGTAACCATTTTTCTTTTCTTTTTCTCGTGGGCGTTATTTATAAATTTATCCTCTACTAATGAATCAGTGAAAATAGGATTCCATTAAATTTTTAGTCTATAATTACATTTACGTGTTTTTTTCTGCTAATCTCAACGTATAGAAAAAAAGCTTCATCACTTTAATATGAAAATCAGTCATGTATATTTACTTACGAATTAATGTATGCAGAAATTAATTATTATCAACAATAGAAAGTATCACTTGTCATGCGCATAAAAGTGGTTCACAAAAAACGAGAAATTCGTCTATACTATAATAAATGTCAATTAACAGACACAATCATACTTACAAAAGAATGTTTGCATATACGGTATATATAAATTTGATAAAGATATATACAACTTAAAACTTTGTCACTTTATATTACAAATTACTTCATCATACTTTGATCTAATTATGCTTAATGTATTAAAAAACTACAATTATTTGACTATAGATAATGTAGTGCTAATTGGATTCGATGAATATGCGACATGTATAGAAATAAATAGTAGCAAAAGAGAATCTTTTTGTTTGAGAGGCAATAATTACTCTATATATATATACGTACTCATGAATTTGACGAGCTGATGCTAACAGTTTATTTTCTATGTAAACAAAGTTGCCTGTATTATTATCTTCGAGAAAATATACAGTAGTCAAACAAGTGTGATGAAAGGAAAAGAATAAATAGTCATAAGGGATCGGGCTAGCTGAATATTTAGAACATTCATTAATTGATTGTCTCATGCTGTTACATATCTTAGAGGACTTATTTCCTCTAAACATAATGTTCGCTCTAATTGGTATATGTTAAGCACATCAAAGAACGATGTGAGAGTTAGAGTTACATTCAAATTGAGCGAGTTTTACTTTTTATGGTAATATTGATATTAATACTAACAAATTACTATAGAAAGAATTGATAAAAATAACATGTAGCTCATAATAAATGAACCTCTCAATATTTTACATGTTTGTCACTTATAACTCGGTTTAGAAAACAAATCTTTTTTTTTTATAGAAAATCACTTTATTAAATTCTCTAAAGATTTTGCGCTTATTATAGGACTATAATACACATTACTAGTTATATACTGCAACACTTCAATAAAACTTGATACAAAATCTAACTAGAAGGAAAGAAATAAGAAGAATACTCTCTATTCTACTCAATTGTTCATCCTTATATACTCATCATTGGTTCCACTTTCACACCCGAACAAAGACGATATAAAAAAAAAGAATATTGAGATATAAGCATTTCAACAATACATAAAGAAGTACAAATAAAAAAAAAGTTTACAAATGAAAAATTTCTCTCAATTGAAAAATAATATATAATGAATTAGATGATTCTGCATGCATAGTTCTTCGAATTAGACATAAACGTGTGAGATTTAATTGATTGAAAATTACTTTTAAATCTAAACAATAAGTTGTACAATGCATATAAATATAGCTTTTAGTTACTGATTCAAAATATCTAATACCATGTATGAACAGAAATGTCCATTTGAGTAAAAAATTACCGTTTTTTGGTGTAAAATTCAACTAATTGATATCGAATTTTTAGATTGTAAATTTTTCAGGTCGTTCATCTACCAAATGCATTTTTTTCTTCTACATAAAAAAAAGCACATGCTTTAGTATGACTCACATATAGATCTTTTTTTTTCAACTTTGGATTATTCCAATTGCTTTCTTTTTATTATTTTGTTTCATGATTTTTCTCATGTATTCATGGTAATTCCCAAGTCCTTTTTGAACTTTCCTGGCTTAGTAGTGGCTGAATTTTTTATGATTTTTATATATAAACAAAAATCTTCTTGTATAATATTTCACGAAAATATTTTCGCACAGTATTAGACAAGTTAAAGCAACAGAAAAATCTCAGAAGAAATCTGTTTCATTCTTTGTTTTTTTTCTTTTCTTCCAATTCATAAAACAACATCTGCGTCATTCAGTCTGTTCTGCTCATAATACGTAAAATCTCTTACTCCACGTGATTATTTAATTGGATTGCATCATCCAACTTTGCAAATTGTTTTTATTTCTATTTATATATAAGCATTTTTAAAAATATTCGGTAAACTATAAGACATAAAAATATGGTCTCTGCGTATCATGTTTACACATTTTTGATGATTTCTGGTGTGTTATTAATCAGTATTGGTTTTATTAGTACTGCTAATTATATAAAGATACGAAATAAACGTCGTCAATATATGAATACTACTTGTCTTCTTACAAATTATGAATGTATTGATCGACAATGTAGATCTTGTGTTTCAGCCAACGGTTGGAGAGGAAAATCTTGTGAATTCTATCAATGCTGGGATGAATATCTTACAATATTGTATTCTATTTCAAATGGAACCAGCATGAAAACCAGTCTTGCTTTTAACAGTATTCGTGAATGTACTCAACATATAAAGGTAAACAGTTTATTTTTAGTAACAAATGTTGGGAAAAAAATTCATGTTCTTATTTAAAATAATATTGCACAATTTTTAAAATAGAACACTTAAAAAAATGAATCATTTTTTCATACTGAAAAAAATAAAAACGTGACAGATTGTAAGGTACCTTAAATAATCTGCACATACTCAATAATACTGAATAATTTTTTCTTAATTATTATCTATTTGATTATAATTTAGAGTGGCAATAATTATACATGTTTCTATCAAAAATTAGATGTTAATTCAATTGAATTGGATTTACCCGATGGAAGAGTTTGGATTATTTTAATGATTACGTCTTTCAGTCTTTTTGGCATTGTAATTATTTTCGGTTTACTATTTCGATTTTTTAATAGAACCGAAGTAGACATTACTCTCCGTCCCCGACAAGATTCCATTATGCTTGAAGAACGTCAACACTTGAATTCAAATTGAAGTGGGATGATACTGATTTCAAGCAATATTACACGAACGATTGCGCATTTTTTCAAAAGCTATTTTTCATTTAACTCAGAATGTAAATGTAGAACTGACATACATCTTCAAATCTTAAGAGTGTATATATTGTTCCTTAGATATTTGTTCGCCTTTGTTTTATTTGTACATTGATTATTGAACTTTATAAATATGATTATAATTAAGAATATTGAATAGATATTAAGTATCACTTTGAAACAATTTGTAATCTGAGAAGTAGCGGAGATATAAAATATAAATCATTTATATTTAATTAATGAATTTATGTGAGATTTATTTCAGAAAAATATAATTATATATCATTAAGAAACGATTTCATAAAATAAATGGTAAATATGAATTCATGTCTTTTGTGTATTTAACTGGATATTAATTATTCAGTGTATATATTGTTTTTAAACGATTCTTCTTTCTTTAGTTTTTAACTTGACATGAATTTTATTCTCAGAAGTAATGAAGTATATCCCTTAGTATCTTATCTATGTTTTATTCTTCTTAATAAAAATGATGGATCAAGCAATACATTTAAGCAATTCACAAATGATATTTTGATCAATCGTCAAACACTCGTATAGTAATAAATAGTTGAGACGGAAAATGAATTGCAACTAATATCATTATCAGTATTGCTGTATGACGTTGGAACATTTTCAATTCTCTTCAGATACTAGGTAAAGTATTTAAAGACATTACATGTTCATCTATTTGATGAACATATTGAATTAGTTTGAATTAAATATACACAATAAAGCATGAATTTTAACAATCTAAAAGATTAGGATGGGTGTGGGTGCAGATGAATACAGGGCTCATGTTCACCCTCACCCCACACCCTTTCTACAATTACCTTCGGTTGTTTTTATGTACTTTATTATAATGTAAAACTTTGAAGAGTGTTCAGATTCAAATAAATAACACGAAACGATTCGACAAACTGAACTCTACATTTGTCTTTATTTGAAAAGCACACTGCTAAAGAAATTTGTCTAGTTTCATATGAAAGTCGATTGCTGAAATGAAAAAGTTAAAACTAGCGAATTGAACTTGTCTTTCTGTTAAGAAATAGGTTGATCTATTTTCAATTTATTAAAAGAGTGCAGTACAATGGAAATAAAAAAGTATCGAGTTAAATTTTATTCGAGTTTCTAGTTAATTTCGCTTTCTATCTCTGATGTTCATAATCGCAAAATAAAATAAAACAATACATATATGTTTTATCAACAACCAATACCAGAACCAAAACCTGGGCTACCAGCACCACTACCACAAGTAGCACTATAGTCACAATACATACTAGCAGCACCATTAGCAATACAACTACTAGCGCTAGTATAAATATTATAACCAGTTGGACCCACATAACGAGTACAGTAATAAGTAGCACTACCATAAACACAAGCACTACAACTTGGAGCACTACAACAAACACTAGGACCGCAAGCAGGAACAGCTGTTGTTGTCGGCGTTGTTGCTTTTGAAGCTATTAATGTATAGTATAAAAATATGTGTATTGTTTTAAGAGAAATTTGAAAAGATTTATTTTGAACTAATGACCTACGTAGATATTACTTAAAAACTTTTTCTAGAATTTGTTCAAACTCTAATACTTAGATAATGGATGGGTGCAAATTATAATTATAAATAGATCTACAAGGTAACCACACTAACTGATACACTTCCTATAGGCTTATATCTTTCTCATAGATGGGACCTTATGGTACTGAGAAGTATTCTAAATCATAGTATCTTAATACAAAAACATTTTAAGTGATTGAAGCCGCCATGGTTGAGTGGTTACGTTGTTCGACACGTATCCACAAGGTACTGTGTTCAAACCTCAGTAACATCAGCCATGGAATGACCCTGGACAAGTCACTAACGGCTAAGTTGTCTAAAATGACTCATTCCACATGAGTCATTCATACTGGTTATCTTTAGTCAGTATGTTGGACGGAAGAGGGTGCAGATACCGCCGTCTGTAAAAAGAAAAAGACGACAGAACCCGGCTGCATGTGGAAAAACTCTAATAATAACCGCGGCCGGCCCCTAAGGGCGATAAGCCTATGGGACGTTATTATTATTATTATTATTTAAGTGATTGATGTTTTCAAAAAAAACTCATCTTACAGATAGTGACTTATTGTAAAAAAACAGAAGATAATCGACTATTTTTTGGTTAATAAAACAGTAATGGTAATGATAGTTTATGAAGAAAATCAGTAAGGCAGTTCTTGTTAACATCAAGAATGTTGATTAATCGGCTTAACAATACAACTATATCAATGATATGTACCTGTCTGAGAATGTAAAAGAAATGTCTTCTAATAACTGAAATGAACATGGATCAGGTTCGTTTTATGATTGATCGAAAAGCTACTGAATACGTTTGTGAATACACTGATGATTGCAATTTGATCAAAGGATTACGTTCGGATAGATTAATATCTATTTCGTCCGATCTTATATGTTCATATTTATAGGTGATACAATAAATATCACGCGGTTCTATAAATCTCTATAAAGTATTATTGGCGCATCTTCCTTCTCGCACTATTTACAGGGTGTCCAGAAAAGTCACATTAGACTTCAAAAATCTCGAAATTCTTGCTCATCTTTTAACCCAATGAGCTGATTTTTTACCACCGATAAGGGAGTGCTATGTTTCGACTGAATAAGTGATTTCAATTATCCCTCATGCTATATTTACAAACATTGATATTATCGGACTTTGTTTAGTCATAGTATCTATCATTATTAATCTTTCTTACTGTAATAAAGAATTAATAAATTGATCACTGACTTCTGTCATGTGAGAAGCCTTTTATCAACAGCATATTCATATGATACCGTTGAAATCGATTAGCATATATAATATGTGCCTAAATATAAATGAAATCAAGTCATTAAAAAATGGACCTGTGTCCAGCCCTCATACAACGTTCTCTGGTGTTCTACATCTAAATGAGGAAGATCGAACAGCTAAAACGAAAACTTTTAGATCTAATTACCTATGATACTCATCGTTTAAGTAACTACAAATCATCTAGCAAATTACTAACTTGTTGTTGTTGTTGTTGTTGATGTTGTCGATGTTGTTTTTGACGTTGTTGTTGATGTTGAAGTCGATGTTGTTGTTGATGATGATGTTGAAGTTGATGTTGATGTTGTTGTTGACGTTGTTTTTGTAGTAGTAGTAGTAGTAGTAGTTGTTGTTGATGATGTCGAAGTTGATGTTGTTGTTGATGTTGTTGTTGTTGTTGTAGTTGTTGTTGTTGTTGTTGTAGTTGTTGAAGTTGATGTTGTTGTTGATGATGTTGTTGTTGTTATTGTTGACGTTGTAGTTGTTGTTGATGTTGAAGTTGTTGTGGTTGGTTCTATTTTGCAGAGGTAAGTTTAGAATGAGACTAAACGACTGAATGCGGGCTAACTTCAAATTACTTACTTCTTCCTCTCTAATTATTGTATCTTCTATAAATATGGGTGCGTTATGGTAGAAGAATAAATCCTTAGACGGCTTACATTATCGCTTTACTTCTACAATCTTTACTTTAATTAAACCTCTAGTATAAGAATCCTGACAAATGGGTTTAGGTCTATTATAATTTCACTGATGATTATTGTAGAGTTATCCCGATTGACTTCTATAAAATTTGCATACTGTTGCTGTTCTTGAAATATTTCATTTTCATTCAAATTCACATTCTTCTCAGAAACGAATCCAAACTTAAAGACCATAACTCACAGCTGGGTGTGGATGTAAATGTGGGTCTAAAGCTAATGCATTTCTTATAATTACACACAAACCCTCAAGATGGTTGGCGGTAAGTTGAAATTAGTTTAGAGTATTTTACAATGAAAATGGATAGAGTGTGGATAGAAATCGGTATAATATCTACAACCATACCCCTAGCAATACAGAATGCATATGATTCATGCACGAGATCTAAGAAGATTGAATGTAAAAATACAGAGAATATGCAATGATTTTGAATAATTTCTTAAACGCTATACAGTAAAACATATATGTAGATTTTTTAAAAAATGTTTCGACTATTCTTTTTTTTACTAGTACAATCAGAATATTTAATTATTTCATACTTGGAATAAGTATACTGTACTCAACTAATCAACAGCATTTCATTGACATCCCTGAGAGTCTTTCGTTGTCAGATATACCTTTACCGATACTTTTAGAATGATTTCATTTTAAATCTACTATATTCATACTAACCAGGTGGAGATCGAGTTCCAGCAATAACAATCATACTAATAATATCGATATCAGTCAGCATATTTGCAATTTCATTTGACATATCAGTAAATAATTCACAATTAGAAATTGATTGATGAAAACTGGCTGCTCTACAATAAATTTGAGCTAAACAAGCCATTTGACACTTCATAATAGTCGACGTCATAATACTAGTGAATGGTAAACAGGTTGTATTAGCACATTGAAATTTCCAACCACGCATTAAAGACATTCTGACTGATCGCATATCTTCTCCAACTGATTGTGTAATAATTAATAGTAAAAGCCATAAATAAATTCTTTTTGAAGCCATCACACCAACAGGAGTGTAAGTTGATGAAATCAATTTGACTGAGAATAAAAGAAAAAGAATCTGTTGAGCGCGATAAATACTACTTTTTTTTCTTTTCTCATTCTTTTTCTTTCTTATTTCATTTCATTAATCTAATGGAAAAATAGTCATGAGTTTTATTTTGTTTTTGTAAATACTCATATTCATTTGGAAAGACAATTTTTCTTCGTTGATATGTTACTTAAAGACAAATATATTCACACTTAAAGCATATGTTATATATAATGATCGACTCAATCAAATTGGATTTCAAACAGGGAATAATCAACATTTAGTCACAAATAAAGTTTTTTTTGTAAAATAAAAATAATTGAATTTATTTTATTCCTGTATAAATTAGATATTCATTCAAACTTATCACATAGATTATACAATATATCAGTCAACTCTCACGCCATTCATATAGAAACAAAGAAAAATGAATAATTCTTCAAGTTTAAACTCGATGGATTTAGATTTTTCAACTGACTCTAATAAGGAGATGATACTATTAATGAAAAACAAAACATTTTGTTTATTAGATACATAAAAACAAACAGTTTTTTTTCAGTATTATATAGTAAGTTTAATAATTGTTTATTATAACAACACATTTCATAGTTTTTTTTCTCGACGAAACACATTTATCTACTAAAGGCTTGCTTTTTTTTTCTTTTCTTTTCTTTTCCTTCGTTTATATGCTGCTGTGATATATAATATATGTAACAGAAGAAGAAAAAGAAGTTAGTTGGAAGAAACAATAGAAACAGAGAGTTTGTGAAAAAATCTAGGTTTAATATAATTACAATAAGAAAAAGTACATGTGTGTTGAGTAAAAAAATGATGATAATATATGCAAACTTTCTGTAGATGGAAAACGGCATCATCATAATTACATTAGAAAAATTACTAAACAAAGTTGATGACGTCTTTACCTTCTTTCAATCTTTAGATGTATCGTATAGAACTACAAAATAGATGCTTTTTCCGACGTGTAAAAGGATTTATTTAAGTTCTTTGAGATTCTAATGGCAGTGGATTGCCAATTGAAAAGTATACTATGCACTAAAGTAATGATTCTTGTACTTGTTGACGATATAACACAGATTCGTGAATGATTTGTGATCTGATACTATTTCTATTGACTTTTATAGATGTCCATTTTTTCATTTATCTCAAATCAATGTTAACTTAAGAGTATATTAATCATGTATTGTATTTGGAATATAAAAAAGAACTAAAGTGATTATCGGTGATAAATGATGAAAACAATAACAATTATAATGTATAGTGCAGAATGTTAGGTAGTATAAGATTGTTCAGTCGTATATTGTTACTTAAAAATAGAGCCAGTAGTAGTAGAATAAATCAAAACCTATTTCGGAATCTTCATTGGCAGTGGAAAAGTACTATGTTTAATAGCGACAATAGTCGAATATCTTTCGAAATATATGAATAAAGATAATCAAGTTATTGTTTTATGAGTACTGAATTATTTCCGTTAAAATATTTTCAATTAGCATGAAGTGTTCGTTGTCGAGACAATTCTCTTTTAGTAGAACTCGAATTTTTTTATTATATTCTACTGTATGAATGTATCTGACTGATATAATATATCTTCGTCTGAACTAAAAGTTTATAGCCGCAATCAGAATAAGTTATCATCATGCTGACATTCTCAACACTGAATTCTGATTGGCTTAGACAGGCAGATAAACTTTTACTATTTTTCAGCTCCGTGTAGTCCTTTCTCCCAGAAAATAAAATAACTCGTTGAAACTATATTAGCGAATAAATCTCGGGTATCAGTTTGACTGATCACGTCCATATAAGATTTCAATAAAATAAAACTAGACAAATTTAACATCATATGTGTTTTCCTCCTTTAAAAAGATAAAAGATAACAAGCTATTGAATTATATCCAAATGTGTATGTGAATACAACGCTGTGCCTAAAAGTATTTATTCGTTGCTTTTCTCTCTTGCTCACACAGGTGATAGAAGTGAGTGGCTATATAAATCAAGTTCGAAAATAAATCAAGTTTTCTAAATTCCATTAGTTCTTACAATAACGAAGACCAAAGTTCAAATATTATCTCAATTAGAATTATAAGTGAGATGATGACGCATTCTGTCACATTTTGATATTTGCAAATTAGAAAAAAAAGCAGGAAGTATATTTAGATTTCAAACTATGCTTTGAGTCTTTTCATGATTGGTATAATAACAGGATTGATACAGATATGTTCTAACAAATACATCCCCACATACTATTACATATTGCCATGCTTTGACTGTAAATGTTCCATTTAGTGGAAATCGTTTGAGTAAAACTGAAGATTATTTTTGATTTGTAATCTGTTGAAAAAATAATTTATATTATCGATTATAATTTAGCGTGTAAATATTGATCAACATTGTTAGTATATATACATATACAGTTAAACATTGATGTTGCATTCAATTTTATCTCGAACTTGAAAGAAAACTATCTCTTCGTGATTATTTGTAATCTTTTCGCTATTGAGATCGATCTTCAATTGTTCTAGATATCCTTTCTGTATTCACCGTTACGCATACCCATACTCATACACTTTACATTTAATATTATTTACAAAGTCTTCAGCAAACTATCAATAAATCTCGATTGTAATTGAATAATGAAAAGTACAAACATATGGTAAAACAAAAAATAAAATAAAAAAATTACTCTTTATGAGAGAAAAACACTTTGTACAAGTTCACATCTATTCACCAGTTTCATCTTCGATGTAATTGATTGAGAGAGTACTACAAAGTCACTACCATACGTTGCACTTCTTCACTCGACTATTACCTTGACCTGCCTTGCAGCCGAATACCCGATCGAACTCAACAAAATTCGAGGTAGGACCACGTATTCTAGAAACATAAATCATTTATGATAGTGCAGACTGACGTATAAAAATAATTGTACCTGAATTGTGCGGGGGAATGCTTATCCAGTACAAGATCAGAGTGCACAGATTCATCTGTCATTTTCGTACACCATATATGACCAAAGTTCAAAAAGAACATTTGTTCTGTCGAATATTTGGTTAAACCGGGAAGTTTCTTGTCAACATTTTTATGAGTCTTAGCCCATTGTTGATAGGCCTTAACAATATTTTTAGGTTTAAATCTTGAATCAGTGAATGATAAAACTTACGAAGAAAGCCTGTCTGAGTGCTGCATCATCGGCGATGTTTTCATCTAGTGTTTGTTCTCCGTTTACCTAAATGAAAAAGATTTTATGTTTGAATAGACCAAAAATAAAAAAAAGGAAATACCGATCGATTGACTTGAGTCAAAGTGTAGTCATCATATTGTTCGATGATACATTTCTTGCGTTTGTCAAATGCGTTGACAGTCGCCTTAGTCCACCATGAAACTTTGTTTCCATTTAAATCATATTCCTTACCTTCATCACCAAATCCATGTGCAATCTCATGTCCCATGAGAAAGCCAATACCTAAATTCAATATCATTTTTCTATCTCGTTCTTCTCGTTGAATCTATCCTTACCACCATAATTGAGATACCTATCAAAGATACGACAGATGTTATGGTATGAGAAAATGAAGTTTTACTTAGGTGCATCTTTGTCGAATAAAGGTGCTTGAAGTATGGCAGCTGGAAACACTAAAGAAAAAACGATGGTATGATATGTTTATTGTTAGAGATTCTTTCATACAAATCTCATTCCTTAATAATCTATGTATGGCATTGACACGTGTGGGCGAGATATCAGTCCATTCCTTGTGATCGATAGGATAGCGAAGCATTTGAAGACTTGCTTTCGAATGTAGTTGAATAGCACTCAAAACATTCAGCATATAAGATAAGTTGAAATTATACTAGATTTGAAATAAAAAAGAAGAATAATAAATTTTCATTGTATGTTGTACACACCTCAGCATAGTCTTTATCAAGTTTTGTCATATCATCACTCTCTAGATAATCAGGATAACCAAGTTTTGCTGTAATAGCTCGAGTCTATAGAGAAAAAAATAGCTTTATTGTTAATATAAAATTGATCGAATGATTGACTCACTTTTTCAATCGCTATGATTTTCGATTTTGAATCCATCCATGTCGATCGATTGACCATCGTGATGAAAATATTTCGAATGTTGTTGATCATTTCAGTTGTCTATTAAAATCATGACAGATAAGCATTTCCTATTATCGAATTATTTTCTCATTACTTCTTTTCGAGCATCCTTATGGAAATATTCTTCGATGTAGAGTTTTGAAACCGACAAGCTCATCACTATATTGACATAATTGGCGCATGTAATTGTACGTGACTCTTCAGTACTTGTGCCATCAAATACATGAGTAAATTGTTGCATAATATTTCGAAATCGTTTTGGCATATGCCAAGCTCGATTCATCATGAAGCGCCATATCATATAGTTTTGCATAGTACGCGGTGATTGTCGACTAATAATTGACGAAATACCATGCAAAAGTTTAGGTGCACTCACAATTACAATGTCTGCATCGATCACAGAGACATTAGCAAACAGATACAAACGACGAATATAGTTAGAAGAATCGAACTGAATAAAAAGATGAAGAGAGAATGAGAAGGAACAGAATAAAATTGACACTTACGGTGACATTGATTGTATGTGAAAGATTACCGAGTGTTGTGCGAACAGTTTCGCGAAAGTCTGATTGATCTTGCGACATAAAGTACTATTTAAAAGAAGTGAAACAGGAAGTTTGCTCATGAAAAGAAATTTACTTTAAAAAGTTCCATCTCGAATTCTAATAAATCAATAAGATCATTGTCGATTGCTGATGAATCATTGGTCAATGCTAGAGTAAAATTTTCAAAGAAATACTGGTAAGCCTGTATTGCTTTTATTCCCTTGGAATAGTGAATAAAATTGTGTATAGCCAGATTGGAGGGTCTAATCTAAAAGTTGAATATTTATTAGCAATAATTTAAACTATTGAGTCTTACATGAATACTTCGAATCGATGAATTCGTCTCATCAACACCTGTGTTTACAGTATAAAATATGTAGTTATTGTACTGACTTAATTTGAGCATCAATCGATCAAAATCAAATGTTGATTCATTCCAGGCCGAGCCTTGCAAGACAGGCCAACCTCCAAGCTCTTTATTGATCATTGACATTATTACATCGATACCTTCCATTTCGATAGTATCTTCGTCAATACAAGAACTATATAAGCGACGAGCATTAGTAATTGCTTTGGACTCTTTTATTCTATTCGACGATGACGATGATAACAAATCTTCGAAAAACAAAATAGAATATATAAAACACAAGAATAAACTATCGTACCGGCAAGTGTATGTCCTAAATGTTTTGCTAATTGCGATAATGAACTCTGTTCATTACCTACAAATAATAAAGTATAGTAATTTCTTTTTTGTTTTATCTTGTACTCACTTTCCGATGATATTATGGCATTTTTAATCCATTTTCCACAAGCAAACTCATAGAAGTTTTCACATGGATCAACTGTTTCATCAATACTTTCGACCAGATAATTTGCTTAAAATAGAAAATAATTTTTATGAATGTGATAAAACTCACTAACCTGCTTTGATGCAATACGGAGTTAAACATAAATCACAAGTATTTTCTACTAAAAATATTATTGAATCAAACTTGCATAGAATTCATGTATACGTACCTTTTGTTTTGTTTATTTCGATGCTGTATAGAACGAGTAATGCAATAATAGAAATCAATAACAGAATGATAATTATACCAAGGAATCGACATGACTGACTGAAATGATGATAGATGTTATAAATTCATTCGAAACTTCATTTTCATATCGAAATGTTATCAACTTTCATCAAACCTACCTTCGATGAAAAGGAGTATGTAAAGTGTTTGCTTCTGAATGGGTCTGCATCGATATATTTTTCTTTATTAAATTAACGCGCAGATCTGTATCTATAACTGAAACATCAGATATTATATAGAAGTTTTAGAGAAAGATAGAATCCTCCCGACGAGTGCATAGTGTATCGACTGAAAGAAAGAAAGAAAGAGAATGAGGATATATGGGTATTTTCCTTGTTAGAGCTCCACGTGAGATGAGAGAACAAGAAAAATCTTCTTATGGAGAATCGGATGATTATAAAGTTTATCGTCCTATTCTGCACGAAGCCTTAACCTTTATCTATTCTATCTTCTAGCAAGTTATAACTGTTTGTGTCGAACAACAATAATTATACATACGTGCATAGATTATATATGTAGTGATAAAAAAAAATGATGTATCTTATTTTCCTTCATCCATGTGACAGGGAAATGACGGTATGTAGATGCGTCATATCGATGATAGTAATAGTTAAATCAAAAATATCAAGTTAAAATATGGAATTCATAAATTATCTTCAAAGACATTATTTTTCTTAAGTAGTTTGTTGCTCTTCGCTTGACATGTTTAGTAAGAGTGAAGTACATAGCAATAATTAAACTGAATAATTATAGTTCGTTAATACAAAAAATAAAAATACAAATGATCAATCTTTTTATTAATTTTTTTAGAAAAAAAAAGAATATTTTTGATCAATAAGAAGACGACGTATATTTTATTTATTCGATACTATGTAAATTTAATTAAGAAATAAACCATACGTCACTAACATTTTTTGCGTGTCTCAATTGATTCAAATAATTTCTTTCTACGTTATTCATTTTAAGTTCTGTCATAGTCAGATTAAAAATAAGAAAACTTTTATTTTGCCGAGTTCAAAATGTTCTTTAAGCAGATGTATAGAGAGAACAAATATAAGGATCAAAATATATATTTTAATAATTATTATACTCAGTAGATGTTATCAATTATTTTCCTTTTCTCATTTGTATCAGATATTTTTCATCAATTTACATTGAGAAACATAGTTCTTTGGAATAGATATTATTTTCTTCTCCTAAAAAAGTAATTCTAGTCTTTATAATAACAGATAACATAAGAGAATAGTTCCTAATGAATTCCTTCAACATAGAAATACACCTACTCTTCTCTTTTCTTTTCACATCTATTTGTATAGTATAAATATATGATACTGTCATTCCTTTCTATGAAGACAGTGTAAGAAGTAGCTTTCTCTTTATTCTTTAGTAAAATCAAACACCTGGATGTCTTCACAATATTCATCTAATTTAGTTGTTACTATGCAGTTAGTACAAACATATACATGTCAAATTGTTGGTTCAATTTTGATTTTCATAGGTACTGTGGGTTGCATATTTAATTTAATCATATTTTCTAAGAAAACTCTACGAAAAAATCCATGTTCAATTTATTTTATCGCATATAATATTGTAAATTTACTCTATATTTACTGTAATTTATTATATACCGTAATCAGTTTAGGATATAATATTGATCCTGCTATATACAGCTTAATTTTCTGTCGTTTACATCTTTACGCCAGTCTTTTACTTCATTGTTTAAATCAATATTATTTAATTTTGGCTTCTATTGATCGTATGTTTATTACTTCACGTAATGCTAATAGACGACGTCGAAGTACTAAACGTCTTGCTTACATATGTATTATAATAGGTACGATATTTTGGGCATTATTTCATAGTCATACATTGATTTTTACGTCTATTATACAATTTGCTCCCTATGTTTATGTTTGTTATTTTCAACCAGGTGCTGAAACTACTTTCGTAGCTTATTATACAATTATTACCGAAACTCTGGTTCTCGTATTAATGATTACATGTGGATTATGTTCACTTAATAATATTCGAAAGATACGCCGTATTAGAGCTATTAGTAATGAATCAGTAAAAAATGTTCCGAAGAATAATTTGCGATCGGCTTCTTCAAAAGATCGACAATTTGTTTTCATGCTAATTGTGGATATTATTATCTATACATTGTTCACTTTTGTACTTCCAGTCTTTCTCATCTATGGACAAATAACACAAAATGATGTTAAAAGTTTTGAGCGAACACAAATTGAAAATATCATTAGAAATTTATGTCTTTTTAGTATAACAATTCCATCTTGTCTTAGTTGTTATGCAAATTTCGCCATATCAAAAACATTTCGGAACGAAATTAAAACAATTCTTTTATGCAAATAAATTTTCTACCATAAAATGAATACTCAAGCGTTAAAATTATCTATATTGTTTGTATAAATGTTGAATAAAATTAAGAAGAGATTCATTAAGATATATTCGCAGTAGATGATATTCGGTGAGAAATCTACTGAGTGTCTATCCATAAAAACATCTTGTTTATCATGCTGAGTGAACATTACACGTTTTTTTTACGTTAAATATTATTTGTCAAAAAAAGCTCTTATTTATAATTATATATGAAAATAATATCTCATTTTCTTTTCAGAAAAAACATGTCAAAAATTTATATTCATTAATAAAAAATTATTCAATAGAACAATTAATGTGTTTTTATTTTTCATTTTGATGATAAGATTGTTAATATAATCAATGATAGCAGGTTACATTTTTTGTAGGATTTACTAGTTATTTAATCAAGTTCTTAATAAATATCTTGAAAATCATAATAAAAATGGAATAATTGTGTCGAAAGATCAGCAAGTAGTACTAAATGTAGATTATTATAATTCAGTCGAAAAATGAACCATTTTGAATACTTACCTAGACCTTGATACACCTGGTATACCAATAAGAGTGCTCTCATAACTTATATCTACACTCACATTCTTAAAAAATTTCCAAGTAGATTTTACGACACAAGCTGCGCCTACAGTGTGAGTGAATACATGTTGGATAAACAAAATACCGACATATACGCCCACACTCTCAAGATGAAAAGATTTTAAGCATCCTGCTTATGATAGGTTCTTAACTATAAAATAAACAATGTATTTGTAGTACATGACAATCAAATCTTATGCAAAGGTTTGATTGTACTTGTATCTTCTATAATGCCAAGACTCATTACTGGTTTGTGTCGTCCATCACGTGATTCAACTCCATGAAAACCTCCCATTACATAACATATTTTTGATTCATTCGTTATTTCATTATTTACTAGAATAGGTACGTTCAATGAATTAAGTTTTATTTGTTTGATTTCACAACTACTCTTGGTATGTAACCCATAACAAAGTCGAAGAAACCATCCACTTACATATTTTCCAGCCATTCTAAAAATATATAATTAAATTTAACCGCCCTATCAGTCTTCTCTACTAACTACTTACCTTCCTGATCTACCACCACCGACATGTTCAATATCCATGATCTTGTTCCAAAATTCACTATCTATATTACCTTGATAGGTTTCAATAAACTGATCAAGAACTGGTAATATAGCATTGATATAAGTTTCAAAATTATTTCGATCAGGTGTTGTAAATTTTTTGAGTCCTTGAGTTTTTCTTCGTAATAATTTCCAATCATCTAATGTACCCATACAATGAACATTACGAATACCACATTTAGTCACATAACATTCATATTCAAAGTACTTTTGAAATGTATCCATTATAGTTGCACATGAAAGAAGTGATTCAAGTTTGTTTGTTGTTGAAAAATTTGATGTAAGCATATCTATAACATCATTTTTTATATTCTTGCTTATTTCTACACGCATACGCTCGAGAAAATCATCCCAACTACAAGAATAATGAATAGCTTCCTTCACATTTCTATCAAACTTACTCAGGTTCAATCTTGCCTATCTGAATGACTGTTAATTGTTTCCGATTATCATGATCAACAAAAAGTTGTCGAAGTTGCTCAGCTTTCTCATTAACATATTGTGAGAAATAGATACAAATCATTAGCCAAATATCATCAGGAGATAGAACAATGTCTTCATGTGAATTATAAGCAAAAAGAAAAGCTGTGAAAATTGCATGACTTTCATTTAATGATGTATCTGAATATGAAAAATTTGTATTAGTAAAATAAAGCAAAATTTTTGATACTTACATGGACCATTGGCACTAATATATTGGACTTTACAAGATGTTTTATCGACTAATTCATCCATTTTATTGATCCAATAGTCAGTTGGTGGAAGCTCTTTGCTTTCATTAATCTCGTAATCTTTATTTACTTCAGGTAGATCCCCACAGATGGTCACAGTATGATAATCACTTGGAATATTATTGTTGTTGTTGTTAATAGTAGAAGGAATTGTCGCCATTTTTATGTAAGTTGCAGTTTGTAGTCACTATAGCAAGAAAAAAAACAACTATTATGTAGAAAGTAATGAAAGAACAGAACAAAAGATATAAATTTAACGACATGAAAAAGCGTTGTATTATTTGCACGTGGAGTTGCATATAGGCTGACGACATTGTGCAAGTATAGAAAAGAACATATCAATTCATCGTCACAAGCAAAGTAAAGCGAAACGCCATAGAAGAAATTGATTAAATATACTATGAAATATATCTACAAATAGACGTCCTTGTTTTTAAAGCTTCAGAACCAACAAATGGCATTAAAAAACAATAGGAACTAATTAGACTGAAGTTTTTCATCATTATTCACTCTAAAAATACATCAAATATTGAATTTAGCTATTTTGATGATAGTCGATCGATTTTTGGAAAATATAATATTTCAGTAAAAGAACTTTCGTTAAGTTTGAAGGTTTCAGGGTAACTCAACAATGATTAAGCATATATTTGTGCAAAATTTCAGATGGTTACTAATGCGAAAATTCAGTAAAATGATCTTAACTCTTGATTCTGAGGCTTTCTTAGTCTCAATTAGATCTACTCATGAACAAACTATCTTATTTATTATCTATTTATTTTATTTTTGTATCGTAACCTATAGACTATTTATCTAAATAAACGATTCAATAAATGAATGATACAATGCTCTTATGTGAGAGATATTACGTTAGATTCTATCAAAAATAAACTTACAATATTATTAGCATAATGCACTGAGTAAAATTCATTGAAAATAAATGTGAGGATCTTCTCATTTGTTAGCAATAAAAATAATGTCTAATGTATCAATTATATATTAATATGTTCATTTAAAATGTTCTTTCTACATTTATCGTTAAACTAGAGCGCAAATGAGGGGATGAGTACACGATATTATGTAAGTATTTTTTATATATTAGCAGTGAACTCATAAGATGTCTTTCATAAGAGCAATTTGTTTTTTTGTACAATAATACAATTTGATTGTTGATTTCATTATACGATCGAAGTTAAGATTAGAAATAATTTATTTCAAAGAATAAAAAGAAAAGAAAATGCAGAGAAATGAAGATACTAATTAATGTTATTATTTCACACTTTAAATAGACAACAAAATGAATGAATATGTACAAAGATATCGTGGAATAATGAAGAGTTAGCTCGATTAATTTCTCTTAGAGTTTAGCAAATAGTCGTATACGAGCTCCACTATTTACGCTGACATATAAATTAAGTTTTGAATCCAGTTTAACATCATATGGAGCTGCCAAAGTAGTACCACCAGCACCATTTCCTGCAATGGTAATACCTGTTGTATTGCCATTGCAGAACAATTGAACGCGATTATTTGTACGATCAGCCACATATAAATTATTCCATTTATCTAGCGCTATTCCCATTGGAGAACTTAATTGAGTTGCGGTTGATCCTGGACTTCCAGCAGTACCTGCTATGACTGTACCACTCGAACTACCAACGTGCCATTTCATTACTGTCGAAGTGGCAGTAGCAGAATTGGCAATATATAAATCTTGATTTGTTTCATCATATACTAGACCAGCCGGTGATGCTAATTTGGCTGTTGTATTACCTGATGATGAAAATGAAATGAAAAATTTTTTATATAAGATCCGTCGAATGTGGATATCGAAGATTTTAAAATAATGATTCACCATAGAAATACTAGAAATGTTAACTATGTACTTTGTCGAAAGTTCTAAAAAATTATTTTTAAATATGGATCAATGACTTATCAATATGAAACAACTGCCGGAGAATTTTCAAGCTCTTGTTTGTTTTATGGTTTTTACATTTCTTATCGAAACTGTCGTTTGAGTACAAGAAAAGTTGTCACAGATCATTTCGAACATATTTTTTAGATATATGTAACGTTTCAGTGTTTTCCCGTCTACTCAGGTTAAATTATACTTATTTCTTGTCGCTTCAAATATAATTATTTCCATAATATCGTAGATATATTTTTCACCGTTCTGCTTACCTGCTGAACTTGTATTACCAGCAAGGAGAATCCCAGCTGTTGCACCTGGAGTCCATTTAGTTACACGCTGATTCTGATACTCCGCCACGTATATATTCGAACTCGAATCTACCCATATACCATATGGATTATATATTTGATTGAACGAAGTTCCAAAAGTGGCATTCCCAGAGGACTGTCCAAGTATTAGGTAATCCGAGTTTTGGCCATTTTGACCCCCTCCCATCCCCTAAATAATCAATATCCTTTGTTTTTTAATGAATTAAAATCATTGAGCGTAAGCTTTTGCTTACCCCTCCTCTCCCTCAAGTGGATTACGTAATACTTGAACGGTCCCCAGCTACTATCGTACCGGTGGAAGCGCCATTTGCCCAAAACATCACACGATTATTAAAAGTATCAGCGGCGTAGAGGTTTTGACTCGAGTCAACAAAAATATAACGAATACCTGTAGAAAATAAACTCATGGTAGTGCCAGATACATTTGTTGTGCCAGCAATGACAGTACCAATGGTACTACCTGGTGCATACTTCAATACACGATAACTACCAGAATCAGCAACATATAAATTATCACTTGAATCGAGGAATATTCCAGTTGGCGAAGATAACTGAGTCAGAAGTACTCCTGATGAACCAGTGCCTGCACGCGATGAAGCGGTTGTATTCCAGTACACACTATTATTGCCTGAAAAATGAAGGAAACAAAAGAAAACATATTTAGTCAAAATTGATTCTGTATGTATACGTACAAGGATTTACCAATCCAGCTGTAGTGGTGACTAGACAAAAATAAAAATAAAAATAAATGTCAAGTTTTAATGGAAGAGAAAACTTTTGAACAAATCTTCACTAAAGGTGGAACAGTCTCAACTGATTAATAATTGTTTGTATAGCTTTAATATCATAAGAAATGAATACGGAGATTACTTTGACTTTTATTGTTAAGCTTTGAAAATTATATGAGTACGCAAAGATTCATTTGCCAATCACAGTCTGTTCTTCATCTCTTCTAACGTAAAGAGTCCAAATATTAGGGGCACGTTAGAAATAGTTGGGGATGTGCTACATCCCTTTACAAATCTTGACAGTCTCGTTCAAGATTTTCCTATACAGAATGATATGAATCACTAAATAGTCAGAACAAACAAAATAAGTGTATATAGAAATAGATTTTTTCGTCGATTGTAAAACCGATTAAACTGATCTGTAGCGCTTTTTTGTAGAGAACCTAGTGGATAAAAGTGCATTAGAAAACATTCGTTGATTTATATCATTTTTGGAGTTATACATGTACAATATATTTAAATCTCATAAAATCAAAAAATAAATACGAAGAGATTATTTATATGCAAATTTATTCTCCATAAAATGTTTCAAAATAATTGATATCTGTGAAAGAAAATCGACATATCGTATTATTCTATTTACGCAAGTACCAAAGAATACGTCACTTTCAGTTTTCGTCTTCGCTAGCAATTATGCTAGTAACTCTATTCTTCTTATTGTTGAAAGCAGCTACTCAATTATTCCTTTAAGGATGCATTTTAAATATTTTTACCTGTTGTCGAGGCAGTTGTCGTTACTGTACTTGTTGTTGCTACAGTTGTCGTGGCTATTGTTGTTGTTGCTACAGTTGTCGTTACTGTACTTGTTGTTGCTACAGTTGTCGTGGCTATTGTCGTTGTTGCTGCAGTTGTCGTTACTGTAGTTGTTGTTGCTACAGTTGTTGTTGCTGCTGTAGTTGTTGTCGCTGCAGTTGTCGTTATTGTAGTTGTTGTTGCTACAGTTGTTGTTGCTGCTGTAGTTGTTGTCGCTGCAGTTGTTGTCGCTGCTGTAGTTGTTGTTGCTACAGTTGTTGTTGCTGCTGTAGTTGTTGTCGCTGCAGTTGTTGTCGTTATTGTATTTGTTGTTGCTACAGTTGTTGTCGCTGCAGTTGTTGTTATTGTAGTTGTTGTTGCTACAGTTGTTGTTGCTGCTGTAGCTGTTGTCACTGTAGTTGTTGTCGCTGCTGCAGTTGTTGTCGCTGCAGTTGTTGTCGCTGCAGTTGTTGTTGCTGCTGCAGTTGTTGATGCCGCTGCAGTTGTTGTTGCTGCTGCAGTTGTTGTTGCTGCAGTTGTTGTTGCTGCTGCAGTTGTTGTTGCTGCAGTTGTTGTTGCTGCAGTTGTTGTTGCTGCTGCAGTTGTTGTTGCTGCTGCAGTTGTTGATGCTGTTGTTCCATTGGCTACTACTAATGTTACGAAACATACAATAAGTAGCTTGATTAAATGCTAGCTGAGTAACGTAATGTTAAACAATACAGTCACAACGAATTTCGTTAAACTATTTCTATATAAGATGAATTTTCTCCCTGTATGAGAGCAAAATCAGTTTTCATCACCGACAACGCAGACTATCTACGAAGCACACACAATCAATAAAAAAAAATCAATATTATATCAAAATCTTTAACGTTTCATTCAAAAATGTTCTGAAAAGGTTGTCTACGAACAATGATTGTCATGAATAAGATGTATAATAACAGTTATTGCTGATTATCAGAGAAACAAGTATGCATTTCACTGATACCATTAATGTATCTGCGCAACAAAGCGACCAAGAAATATTTTTTATGAATTTATTTTCAGTGCGAGATCGGACGCAGGTAAAGGTGAAATTATCGACATATTCATTAGGCTCTATGGTGATACTCAAAACCGGTGCCGGTGTTGCATCATGCAGATTCCAACGTACATCCTATTTCTGCTAAACACGATTGTATTCTACTGCGCACTTTGGCATATAATCTAGGATAGACGTGTAAGATTTTTGCTAGCATCTTTTATTACGAATCTGATGAAATCTTTAAAAAATGAACGTATATATTATTGCTGGATATTACGAAAGATTTTTGTCAAAATTTCGTATATATAAGATCATTTACGCTCATTTATATGATTTTTGGCCTCGGTAGCCGTGATTATTGTTCCGAAAATGATCTTTTCTGATAAAATATGATGAAATCTAACAAGCGTTAATAATGAGCCACATAGTTTACAAAAATATTTCGCTTCGAAGAAAGTTTTTGTTGAAGTTTAAAGGAAAGATCTTTCTATCTCTAATGACTAGTTCAAGAATTCGTTCCTGGAAATTTGGAGGCAAATCTATTTTTTCTCTAAATAAATCAATGTATTCTATTGATCAATACATAAACAAACGGAAAGTATGATGAATTTGAATACAGTAGAATCTTAAATAAAAAATCAAAGTTGAAATTGATAAAGATTAACGATATCATTTGAGATCGTAGTATGACATGCCTTCAGCATCTTTTTCAGTAATTTCTCCACTAAGAATCAAAAATGCAGTAGCTTCTTTCTTCTTGAATTAACTGAACTTTCACTTGTGTAAAACAAAATAAAGAATAAATAGATCATATTTCTGGATGAATGGGACGCTGCTTGTGCAATATTATAACCTGTTTTGTATTACTTACCGATTGCTGTCGTTGATGATGAAGTATTTCGGGACAATATAACGAGAGGCACGGCAATAGCTGCAGCTACAACACATGTGCAACATAGCACCGACATGAGAATCACAGCAATTCTTATGTAGCTGAACTTTCCACTGAAATACAAAGCATACAATAAAAAAACTGCCTTGAAAATGACAAATACGAACCACAATTCATTCTTCGATGGAATCGATTTTAAACTCGTCGTGTCTATTTGAACTTCAGATGGTCGAGCGCTTCTCTAAATATTATGCGAAACAACTTTTATACTCAATTAAAAAAGATGGGTGTGGGTGTGGGTGGATGTGAGCGTGGGGTGTGAGAATGGGATGTGGATGTGGGGTGTGTGTGCGAGCTACTGGCTTTGGGTGTCGGTGTGCCTATGGGTGTAAGTGGGTGTGGGCGTGGGTGTGTGTAGACGGATGTGGGATGTAGGGTGTGGATACGGGTGAGTGCGAGATACGGATAAAATACTCACACCCGCACCCGCACCCGCACCCGCACCTACATTCACCCACCCCCACCCTAAATAATGTTTTTTATTTATTTTCCTTGTTAAAATTATGCATTCTTAGTTTTTGTTTAACTATCTCCTCATGTTTTGTTTTCAATAGGTTGATTCGAAAAATAAACAGGCTTCAGATAAAATATTAGTTAGTTTACCAGATGGCTCTGATTCGATGCTGCCGATGATGGACGACTATCTCCAGAGTTCCAACCACTTCGCCTCTATAAAATAAAAAGATATGTTTATTCACATGTGTTCTTTCAATTTTCTCATTCAAAAAGAAATCTCACCAGACTGTTTGACTTTGCCTCACTGCTTAAAGTCGATGACCTGATACGTTGAGCATTCCATATGCTTCGTTGCTATAAAACAATAATAAAATCTTTATTAGAAACAGTATTGATCATGTGTTATAAGGTGCCGGTCATGCGAATTTCTAGTAAAAACTTCTTTTTATATCATTTGATAGATCTTGAGTTACAGTAGCTCAAGTTCTAATGAATAATGTAAAAAACCAGGCAAAAACATTTTTTACTCAAAATTCGTATTATTAACACCTTACTTACAGCCATGATGCTTGTGTGTCGATAGTATTAGAGATGGTTACCAAATGGCAACGTTTATTGAAAAAAATTTTGTGTTGATTGCAAGAAAAGAAATCATCTTTATACATGGGAATTAAATGTTTTTTTTCTCTCTGTTCTGTTGAAAAAATAATTTCATCATTTAAATTGTATTACGATATGTTTTTCCTGTGACTATTAGATTAACTAAAAAGTACTTTTTTTTATTGTCCATCTATTCACGTGAAACACTCGAAATTGCTTCATTCTTACTCAGCAGTATGAATCGCTTCCATTAATGTTGTTGATATACTTTTTAATAATCTGAAGTATCAGCGCTGCTTATTCATACGCATAACTTCTTTTTTTTTGATGGGCGTGCGCACTGTGCATTTTAATGAAAAATCATGACAATGCACACTTATTCATTTCTGACGAACTCTATCCAAACAACAATTGAGTATCTGATTAATTCAAGTTTGAATATAAACGAACATTCGAAAAAGAAAAACTACTAAGCCATTCTAAGAATAGATTTAGTTTTAGATTTAGTTTTCAGATAAATGAGAAACAAATGTTCCTTTTCGTTAGAATATATGAATTATAATCATCTTAGAGTAAGACTAAAACTAAAATTGAATCTATCCCTAACTTCCACCAGCTATTTTAGAATTAATAGTATGCAGTTAGATGTTCATTTATTATTCGGCCTCAAATTAGGCAGTATCCGATCATTTCTAGTCAATTGTCAAAGAGACTAGGATTTGGTGTGAGGAAGAGATATACAAAATGCCAATAGCCACACTCACATCTTTATTTTATACAGTGATACTTTTTTTTCATGTGGTACATAAACTTAATATGAAATAGAAAAAACGTTTTCTTTACATACGCCTTTTTTTCCCATATTTACAAAACATTCACATTTGTTTTTTTTAAAACAATTTTACTCAGGTGAATTATGATAGAATGGAACCTATCGAACGAATGTAAAAGTTGAATTAAAAAGTAGATCATTGAAGTATACGTAATGAGATACGGTAGATTATATAAGAATCGAGCAGATCTATTCATCGAGTTCGATTATCTCTGGTAACGTATATCCGTCAAGAACATACTTAAGTCCAGTAAATCGACATAAACAAAAATAAATTGAGATGATTTTTAAAAATCTGCATTTGATATTCTAATTCAGTCGAATAAAGACATATTCAGTCGACTCTATTCTAATCTCTCATTGAAAATGTAAGAGATTCTTTTTTAAGCGACAACGATAATTAAGTTCGAGAAAATTGACTTGAACATGGGAAAATTGTGCATCGTTACGAATTCAATTCTTCTTGCCACCAACATTTTATTTTTTTTTATTTTATAAGTGAAAACAACGCTAATAGAATTGAAAAAGAATCTGAAATTTTTATAATTACATCAGTGAGCATTCTTTGCATTTGCAAAAATATGAATCACATTATTTACAAAGATTTATATAGTATTGTACATATTCAGGATGAGAATGTAAGGAGAATTCAAAGTGTGATCGTAAGTGTGAAACTAAAATCAAACTCAGATCCGTACTCACATCCTCAGATAATAATTCAGCATTTTTGTTTCTCAATAATCATTGTCTTGGCATCAAGACACCATAGTAATGCAGTTTTTTTTCTCTTATAAAATAAACAACATTAAAAACACCTTTGTTGCAACACGAGAAAGTTATTATTCAACTTCATTTTCTTCCTTTTCACGCCTATATAAAAATGTAGATTGAAAAACATTACCATATATTAATATTGATTTAAAATTTTTCTTTTATAAAATTTTCTTCCAAGTGTTTAAACTTAATAAAAACGACTTAAACAAATAAAATATAGAAAAAAAATTCATTTATTTTAGTCATAATTTCAGTTTATTATACTTCTAAGTTTTTGTACTTAAATCTTAGAATGATTAAACTAAATTAATTGAAATCTATTTTTTTTATTTAAACTTAAATCAGTTCGAATTCATAGTTAAAATAAAACAATATATTATTATGTAAACTACGTACTAAGGCATAGGAGCTTTTCTTTTTTTGTGGTTCTGTATCGAACAAAAAATTATAGTCACAGTGGTGATAACATATAATGGTATAAGTGTAATAGCTATTGATAATTTTTGAAACCGCTGTGTGATATGTCATACTTAACAGATAATCACGGAAAGACCTGTCTCCAAATAACATTCTATAATGAGTTTGAAATTTATATGAGTATTGATCAGAGTGGAAAGTGAAAATATATATATATATATTATTCACTAATGTTGTCCTGTAAAGATTATTCTTTATTAATATAAAATGTAAATGTTAAAATTTCATTTTAGAATTTATCTACTTCGCTAAATTAATTAAAATGATAGTCGAAATATGTTTTCAAGTTAAAAGTATAGATAGTGAATTTATAGATGTTTCAATCTTAATAGTAAACAATAATAGTGAAGTAAATCTTGAAACATGTTTCATATCATACTAAAGATAGAAGAGCAATACGTTGATTTTTATTTTATTATCTAGCTCATGTCTTGAAAGCATTTAAATATTCGTCAGTTACGTGAATCAATTATACAGATAATAAACAATTTCTTGAATTATTCCCTTCACGGTATGGAAGGTCTTATGAAATAAATTACGTTTGTTTGAGTGCTTGCAACGGGGTCAAAAAAACATCCAAGAAAAAAAATACACAATACGTCGTAAAACTCGACCAAAGGTTTTTTTGGGTCGTGGAACTCGAATCTGAAGTCTGTTTGGTCTGACAATCCATTGGGTGGGTGTGGATGAGGGTGAGAATCAATAGAAATCAAGTATTCAGATAATAGGATTTCTAGAGGTTTTTTTGATGAGGGGAAGTCGAATCTCATGTCTGTTCGGTCTGACAAACCAATGTAGTGGGTGAGGGGTGTGTGTGAGAACCAATAGTAATCGAGTTTTCAGAAAAAAGTTGTTCTATGAGTCTTTCAACGCGGTGAACTAGAATCTGAGGTTTATTCGGTGAGATAGCTTGAAGCTGTAGGTGAGGGGCTGGGTGTAGATGAGAACCAATAAAAACCGCGTTTTCGGGAAAACACATTTCTAGGGGTATTTTAACGCGGAAAACTCAAATCTGGCGTTTATTTGGTCAGACAGCTTAGGACACAGGGTGAGAGGGTGTGGGTATAGGTATTACATTAAGATTATTGTAAAATTCACACCTACACCTACGTCTTCATCCACACCTACACCCACACCCTCCAATATAAGTCCTTAGTCAAACATCTTGTAAGCAAGATCTGTTTGAAGATTAAGAAAAAGATACAAATAATGAGAAGAACAACAGTGACATCGTTAATTTCTTTATATATTCAAAAATTATTCAAGTATCCATAGTTTACATACAGAAATGATTTTCAGTTGATTTTTTGTTATAAAAAATTTGAATGAGATTAAAGATTAAAATAATAAAGAAATATGGAATAAACTAAACTGTATAATATTTTTTAAACTTTGTTCTCGATCAATTACAACTCTTTGGAAATATAGCAGTCGTAAAAATATTCATTATATTATACAGAATTTCCAATGAGAGAGTATCAGAAACCGAATCGAATGAGATTCTCTATTCTATTCATCAACGATGTTTTTGAGTGAGAAGGTATACAAGCTCAATTATTATTTATATTTCCAGTCAGAAAAAAATTATTTCTGTTGATTTATTTTAAAATTAATAATTTTAGAGAAAATAGATGCTTGTATAGCTATTGTCATGACTGCTCTTTTTTTCACACATTTAATACAGGATTTTCTAGTTTTACGTAGTATTCAGATTGAAAATAGCAGTTAACTTGCTTCTTTTCATCATATGTGCATTTTCTTTAAGCGTCAATTATGTAAATTCAAAAGCTACTATCTTCATAAAGTTAAACTTCGATATTCATAAAACTTTTGAATTACATAAATTCTTCGTTTAACGTACTCTCTCCAGAGTAGATAACCAGTTTTATTAAACTGAAAGTTGAAAATTATTCAATGAATTCATATAAATTCGAAATAATTTCTAAATTTATAATCTTATTTCTAACGAGTTCATTAGTTTTTTTTGTAGTACTTTTTCGCTATTATAATGTCTTTTAATAACGAATAAAGCTTTTTTCGTTATTCTAATAAACGTTGTTATTCATAATATAAATATTAGAAAATAAGATATTGAATCAATATCTTTAAAATTTTCATTACTGATATCCAAGATATAATTATTTGAATCGAAGGTCAATAGAAACTATCATAGACTAGCAAACATTTTGCAGTTGTGCTCTAGTCGGCTATGGTATTTTTCAGGTAAGTAATTATTATTTTTTGAGGATTTTATTCAGAAAAAATTTCATTCATGGAGTAGCGGAACGAAACAGTATGCTTTGTTTGTTCAATCTAAGTTATGTAGGACATTTCTTACGTATTGTAAAATATTAGCTAGAAAAGATCAACAGAATGACGATGTTCTATTTCTTTTCATCATTTTCTACTTTCAGCCAGAAGAAAGAAAAATTTATTTCATCATCGTGATGGTCTCTGACAAGCCGAAGGGATTAATGACAGAAGATTAATTGATAAAAAATCTGACGTAGAGAAGAGCTGTAACTCATTACTCTAATTAATATCTACAGGATATGCTCTGGTCTTGGCAATAAGTCAGAAACATCTTCTCAAATGTATATTCCAATAGGTGGAAACTAATGTTGAAGAGAATATGAAAAAAAAGAGAAGACATGGGAGGTTACTCTTTTTTTCTTTCCGTCTTAATGCTTTATTAACTTATTAAAAAACATATTTATTCTCAAATCTACGAAGGAGAAGAAGAAGAAGAAGAAGACTTATTGAACATTTCTTACACAATACAAAATAAGTATGTCAACCAGTGTCAATAACGTCGCCATTATCTCGTCGAATCCAGCGTTAGCCGCTATACTAACCGTTGTATCGATTCCATCAATACTCTGCGGACTGTTAGTTCTCCATCACTTTCTTTCGTCACGAATAATGAGACTTCAACTAGCAAATCATGTTCTAATTGCTTTACTTATCGGCAGTCTTCTATGGATCTGTGTTATTCTTCCATTCCATATTTATTTTCTATGGAAAGGAACAGTTGTTTTTCACAATGACACATTTTGTACATTGTATATTTTCTTTTCCTTTACTGTCAATCAAACAACTACGTCATTTCTCATGTCTTGGCTCACAATTCATCGTGTACTTATTATATACTACTATCATCTATTCAACTCGAAAACGAAACGTCTATTTTTTCACTACTTACCACTGGCTTTCTGCTCAGTTTACATGCTCATCTTCTGTATTATCTTCATCATTATCTATCCATGCACAAATCAGTATGACTACACGAAATACCTTTGCAACTTTCCATGCTTTTTAAAAACACAAGTATTAACAATGTATCATACATTTGCCCACACGTTCCTACCAGTGTTCATCACAATACCGACGACACTTTACTTAATCTATCGAACAATTCAACAAAAACAAA